TAGATAGATAGATAGATAGATAGATAGATAGATAGATAGATAGATAGATAATATATAAGATAGACAACCTATGTATTTGCTCTTTTGCTCTGCCCTCTCTATTTTTAAAGATAGGGTCTCTCCACAGAGCCCACATTGGCCTTGAACTAATGCTGGGGTTACAGGTGCGGACCAGACCACACCCAAACTCAAAACAGTACAATCCCTTCTGAGGAAGCACACATTTACCAAATTTCCACAAATTAGGCTTAAAATAACCCAGGCATGTCAAGGTTCCTGAGGTCAGAAGTCTCACTGCTCTGAGTTCCTCTGATGGGTCTGGAAGAGACCATGTCCCTCAAGTTTTGCAGCTTGTAGCTTTGTGTTCCCAACATTTCTGGGCACGTGGCTCCGCCCTCCATCTGGTTCCAAGATCGGCAATCCAGAATCTTCATATGTCTCTTGGCTCTGTCTCACATTGCTTTCTCCTTTAGGAAAATCTCCTTCTGCCCACATTTCTAAGGATATTTGCAATTCCACGGGTGGGGGTGCCCGTGTGTCCACATGAACACTCTTCTTACATCACATCAACAGAATTCCCTCTGGCCTTATAAGGTAATATGGATTCTAAGAACTAGGACTTAGGAATCTGTGGTGATTGATTTAGGCAATAATTCGCAAATTACCTGTGTTTCTTCTCCTCCCCTCCCCTGTTTTTCCCTCCTCTGCTCACTACCATCCTCTCCCGTCCCCTCTCCTTACCTTCCAACCCTCTCCTCCTCTCCCCTCCCTTCTCCTCTCTTTTCCTTCTCTCCCCCCTCTTGTCAGCTTGCTTTTCTGTTTTCTTTTTTTGGTGGTACTAAATACTAAGCCCAGGGCCTTATACTATGCAAGTGTTCTACCACTAAACCACGAACCCACTGAGCCACTGGGCTGACACATCTACCTTCCCCTTCTCCACCTCTCCACCTTCCCTTTTTTCCTTAATTTTGAAGCCAAGGCTCTCTAAGTCCCCAGGCTGGCCGTGTAACCCTCTTGATTTGTCAGTCTTTTAAGTGGCTAGACTTATAGGCATGTCCCCACTACACCTGCTTATTTTTATTTTATTTTATATACAGCTAAACTTTTAAATAGGCAGTATAGTCAGGAGAGGTGGCTCAGTGGGTGAGAGCAGAGGACCCCGGTTCAGTTCCTGGCACCCACATCAGGCAGCTCACAGCAGCCTATAACTCCACTTCCAAGAGATCTGATGTCCTCTGATCATTCAGGCACTTGCACATACATGATGCAAGTGTACATATGTGCACACACACATAGATAAGAATAAATAAATAAAATTTAAATGTACAGTTAGTTTTAGCAGATAATGTGATGGAGGAAGTACACCATAATCAAGACAGAGCAGTTTCGTCACAGCATAGCTCATAATCAAGCCATCCCTTCACCAGCCTGACTGTGATTAGGATAGCCTCTGAGCCTGTGATGTTGCCTTTTTGCGACAATCGTGTGCATGGAATCGTGGGAGTAGGAAGTCCAGCTGTTTTCCCTTAACACAGTGTGTTTGCTATCCACCCAAGTCATGGTGGACTGAGAAAAAAAACTAACTCTCTATCCTCAGAAGTTTGGAGTTGGGCCAGATCCGTGTGACAAAAGCTGATCCCCAAGAGAACACACCAGGTTTTTATCATCGTACACAGGACGTACCTCTCGGGGGACCTCAGGGAGTGATAGCCTGAAGAGTGGCTTACAACGCTTTGTTGGGAAACAGCAAGTTTAGGGAACCAACAGGAGAGGACCAAGCAGAGGCGGGAGACTGCCTGGAGGTAGGTGGCTGTGCCTGAGCCAACCTTCGCCTGCAGGTTTTACTGACGTCACCCCTGGGCGTTACCCTTGTCCCCAGTGGGCAAGACTGCAGCCTGTGTGTGAGGGGTGGTGGAAAGGGCAGAAAGCTCCCACTCTGGTTCTCGCTCTCTGATTTAGCTCCAAAGTAGTTACAGAAAACAGGCAAGCTTTTCTGGTCTGTGAATCTATGGGTAGAGAAGAGCTGGTCAGGTCTGAGATGTTCAGGTCTGGGTGCTCCACTGACTGCTGGACCCTCTGCCTCTGCAGAAGTGATGTGGGATTCCCTTCTGCGTGCTGTGATTACCATTAACGGTTAAAGAAACTGCTTTGGACTTATACCTGGGCAGAACTTAGTTAGACAGGGAAAGCAAGGCTGAATGCTGGAAGAAGGAAGGGCGGAGTCAGGGAGACGCCATGTAGCCCCTACGGACACAGACACCAGACAACGAGACTTTACCCGGTAAGCCACAGCCTCATGGCAATACACAGATTACTACAAATGGGTTAAAGGTTAAATTAAGATATAAGAGTTAGCCAATAAGAACCTAGAGCTAATGGGCCAAGCAGTGATTTAAATAATATAGTTTCTGTGTGATTATTTCAGGGCTGGGCAGCCAGGAACCAACAAGCGGCCTCCTTACAACACAAAAGGGTACCCTCGTCCAGTGCCATTGTACACCTGTTCCACATGGTTCCGTTTCTCAGAAAATCATGTGTCTTGAACCTGGTCTGCCACACAAGGAAGACACGGCAGGCCTGGACTGGTGCCTCTGCGTTTCTGATTCCCGTGCGCTTTCTGTCCTGGTTCCAGCGCTTTGTGAAAGCCCCACTCCACACAGATGGGAAGCGAGATGCGGCTGCTTTTCACCATTGTCCCCTGTAATGTCAGCTTCGTACCACTGTGGCCAGACACAAGGTGATGCTGGGGATTGAACCCAGGTCTCTGCGCACACAAGGAAAGTGCTTCATACTAAGATGTGCTGCCAGTTCTCAGCCACTGCCAGTTAAACTCACCCAGAAGTTTGACAGAGAAGACAATCGAAAATGTTTGACTGGGTTTAAGTGATTCATAACAGCCCATAGTTGTGGTTAGTCTGCAGTGTTCACTTGAATCAGGAGGAAAACAGGACCTAAGGTCTGAAGTAGGTACAAAAGGCATCCAAACAGAATGATATCATCAAACGTGTTTAATTATTACACTACAATATGAATAAATTCTAATATCAGCCTCACCCAAATCAAGATTCTAGGAAACAGTCGCTGCTGAAACACAGCCAGTCAAATGCTCCTCTCTCCCCCAAGCCCTACCCACTGCAGGAACTTCAACCAATGAAAGCATTCCACTAAGAACTGAGGCGGATAGGAGACTACATGCTGACAGTGTCCAATTCACAATAATCAACGTTTGCATAGAAACAAACTAAATGCCTCCATGGTCTCTTCTTCATTCCATTCCCAAAGCCCATGCATTAAATAGAATAGATTTATTTTATGAAGGAAAGAACTGGGTTCAAAGAGGAACCATAATGTGTTCATGTGCATCAGCAACAGAGGAGAAAAGCCTTGTAACCAACTTTGTTATCCCAAGCTTCCTCCGTCAGTTCCCACTCTCCCGTCCCTCCTTCCTACCCTCCTTTTGTCCCTCCATCCCTCCCTCCTTCCTTCCTTTCCTTTTCTTCACTTCCTTCTTACCCCATCCCTCCCATGGCACCCTGGAATTCCTCATGTCAGCCAGGGTATGGACTCTGAACAGATTGAAGATTAAATGGCTGCCTTGTGGAGACCTAAGAGGAGAAAGGATGTTTAGCTGGACCTTGAAGAGTTAGCAACAGCAGCAAGCAGAGATGATGAGATAGGACTGGCATCCTGGGGAGAGGGAACAGAGAGGGCAGACACCTCAGAAGATTGGAGGTGGGGAGTCATACCTGGGTGCTAAGCCATACCTGGGTGCTGGGAGGTGGGAGAAGTCCTGGTGAGAGCAGAAGAGGCTGTCCCGGACCAAGGAGGGCCTTGAAGCTGTGCCAGGAAGCTTGTCACTATCGAGAAGCTTGACACAGGGACGTGGCAGAATTATATGTTTGTAAGAAGGGTCATTTGGAGGTCGTTTAGGGGTAGATGATAAAGGCAAGATGAGACTAGAAGTGTTGAGATAGGAGGATGTTGCCAGTCTAGACCAAAGTTGATAAAGTACGGTCTGAGGCAAGAAGATTGTGAGGAGGGTTATTTCATTGAAAGAGTTAAAAGACAGCATTGATAGGACTGTGTGGAGGTCCACGTGGCAGTGGAAGGGGAGGGGACAACAAGGGAAGAGAAGCCTTCTCAAGTACATTGTCCTTCCCTCCATTATTTCATAGATGTTTACACTTACATATCTTTCTGAAGCTCGTTTCTCAAGAACAGTTCGTGATTTCTATAAACTGTGATTGATTTTTTTTTTAATCGCTGTTCCTCATCTCTAGAGTTTAGTTCTTTGCCAAAGCATAGTCAGTCATGTGTAGTGGCCACAGGTACACCGAGGACTTATCTTAGCACCCAGGTATAGTTTAGTACCAAGGTGTAGCTTAGCATCCAGCTATAGCTTAGCACCCAGGTATGGTTTAGTCCCCAGGTGTGGTTTAGCACACAGGTATGACTTAGCACTCAGGTATGGCTTAGCACCCAGGTATGGCTTAGCACTCAGGTATGGTTTAGTACCCAGATATGGCTTAGCACCCAGGTATGGCTTAGCACTCAGGTATGGCTTAGCACCCAGGTATGGCTTAGCACTCAGGTATGGTTTAGCACCCAGGTATGGCTTAGCACCAAGGTATGGTTTAGCACCCAGGTATGGCTTAGCACCAAGGTATGGTTTAGCCCCCAGGTACAGCTTATTACCCAGGTGAAACTTAGCACTCAGATATGGCTTAGCACCCAGGTATGGCTTAACACCAAGGTATGGTTTAGCACGCAGGTGCTGAGCACAGCATTTCTCTGGAATCTTGAAACTGGAACAAAGAATATGGCTACTATTTTGAAAGGAATTGGGACCTGGGTAGCTATTGGCTATGGCTCAAGTGGTTGTTTTCTGAGTAGAAGAAAACCTAGGCTTGCTGAATAAGAATAAAGTACAGGCCCAGAAAAAAACAGATGGCAAAATCCAGATTCTGTCTTATCCCGACGCTGGGATGAGATGCTGCCCTCGGGCCCCTTGTTGCTTTGGCTTTGGCTGGCTTACCCAACCCAAGGGAACGCTAATAGCTTTAGCCACAGATAACATTTCAAAGCCCACACACCAGGGACCATGTCTGATGGAAGCACTTTTGTATCCATGAAATTTACTCTCTAAATAGTTCTCTTGTTTATTGTTCCTGCTTGCATTATAAAAGAGACTTTGAAATGAGGTACAACATGCATAAAGCTTATGTTCATTTTTTAGAAAAACTCACTTGCAGTTATCTTTAAATTATTATCCAAATTTAAATATAAGACAAATCAATCAAGTCCCATGAAACATTAGCTGACCAGGGCTGGATGTAGTGTGTGGCCAGTGGAGGTGAGTAAGACCTTGTCCCTCATCTGGCACCAGAACCATTTAATTAATTTTGTCTTGAAGGTTCAGGAATGAAAAAGAAGCATCCAAACTGGACTTAAAGAAGTAGAAACACAATGGATGGAGAAGGTAGGAAGAAGCAGAATAGACATTCATAAACCAGCATTGCAGAGGGATGGAGGACAACTCTCAGGACACAGAGGTGTAGCATGAGGGCCGGCTTGTTGGGGTTTCTGTCCCACCCGGTACCCCACAGCCGGCATGCCCCAAAGAGAAAAATCAATCACACAGAAATCTCTATAAGTTATAAAGCTGATTGGCCCATTAGGTCAGGCTACTTATTAGCTCTTATAACTTATGTTACCCCATTATCCTTATCTACGTTAGCCACATGGCTCCGTACCTTTTCCAGCAGAGCAGCTTACATCTTTCCTCTCCAGTGGTCTGGGCAGCACTGCTGAGGGAGCTTCCTGCTTCCCAGAATACTCCCAGTCTCTTTGCTCCACCTCTACTTCCTGTCTGGCTTTCCTGCCTATACTGCCTGCCTGGCCAATCAGCGTTTTATTAAAATATGATTGACAGAGTACAGACAATTCTCCCACACCATT